AAAAAATCGATTATTCGATTATCAAAAAATCGATTATTCGATTATCAAAAAATCGATTGTTCGATTATCAAAAATGGATTATCCGATTATCAAAAAATCGTTTATTCGATTACCAAAAAATCGACTATTCGATTATCAAAAAATCGATTATTCGATTATCAACAAGTCGATTGTCCGATTATCAAAAATGGATTATCCGATTATCAAAAAATCGTTTATTCGATTACCAAAAAATCGACTATTCGATTATCAAAAAATCGATTATTCGATTATCAACAAGTCGATTGTCCGATTATCAAAAATGGATTATCCGATTATCAAAAAATCGTTTATTCGATTACCAAAAAATCGACTATTCGATTATCAAAAAATCGATTATTCGATTATCAACAAGTCGATTGTCCGATTATCAAAAATGGATTATCCGATTATCAAAAAATCGTTTATTCGATTACCAAAAAATCGACTATTCGATTATCAAAAAATCGATTATTCGATTATCAACAAGTCGATTGTCCGATTATCAAAAATGGATTATCCGATTATCAAAAAATCGTTTATTCGATTACCAAAAAATCGATTATGCGATTATCAAAAAATCATTTATTCGATTACCAAAAAAATCGATTATTCGATTATGAGAAAATCGATTATTCGATTATAACAAAAATCGACTATTCGATTATCAAAAAATCGTTTATTCGATTACCAAAAAATCGATTATTCGAGTATCAAAAAATCGATTATTCGATTACCATATAATCGATTATTTTGTTACTCCCGTTTGTCTGATATTCACGTCTACAGGTTAAGAGGGTAGGTAACGATCGATACCTTAATTTCGGGCAGCGTAATCCTCTGCTTCGGATCCTTGACTAGCATACTTAGAATGAGGTTTCTTAAAGACGAAGATATGTGAGGGGTCGCCGGAAACTCGACGGGATGACTTTTGATCCGAGAATAAAGAGATATTATGTTCTCCTCGATGAACGGCGTTCTTCCGTACACGAGCGAGTATAACGTGACTCCCATCGACCAAATGTCTGCCGCCTGTAAAATACAAAATTATTTTCAAGGCACAAGTGCGGCACAATTTTGAAATGCGGCACTAAACCCCTTCCACGGCACAAATCAGCACTGGCGAAAGGACAACACATCGTCAACTTCCAAAGAAAAGTGCTTCAGTAACAGTTAGCCCTACCCCAGTATAAACACGGCACTAAAACCTAAACGGCACGAGTCAGCACCTAGCGTTAAATGTGTGCCATCTATTGCCGTTGAGTAGCATTACCTATAAAATGGGATGGTATTTTGCGACAAATTAAATGAGTTTCGAATTATTTCACAAACACGGCACAAATTTAAAAGTTTTATGCAACCGACATGTTCCATTGTTCAGCTTTTGAGTTTGGTATTATGCTGTTTGTATGTACTGTCATCAAGTGTTTACAGGAAACAAAAAAAGAACCATTCTGAAATTGTGCCGTTGTAATGAGAATGTAGTGCCTTGGTCGGGATCTTAGTAGAACCGCTGTTGGCGTGTTTTCGAAAAGGTTAGTTAGTTTGTGGTGGCACAAATTTGAATGTTGCAAGCGCTGCAGAAGGAAACTAACACGGCACGAAATAGAACTAGCTGTTATTAGATTTGTGCTATGCATTGTTATTAACTTGTATTCAACACGACGGCACAAAGCAGCTCAAATATTCACTGAATTCAAAATTTGTGCTGTCAAAAATACCAGTGCTGCTCATACATTCAGATTTGTGCAGTAGAACTTTTTTTACTTTAGTGTAAAATCGTGCCGTTTTAGTGCTCGAATGTGTGGGAAGCACAAAACTACTGAAACCGTACTTTAAATAGAGTACCTGTTAAATAAAAATCGGCATTTGTGCCGTTGTGTTGCAGTTACATCGTGCCCACTTTTTATTTTTGGAGAATTTTGACCTGAATTCTTAGCCTTTAATGAAAATTTCGTGCCTTTGGGGCAGATGCAAAACCGGACGCCGAGCACCGACTATTGCCGTTAATTTGTACACCGCTGAAGGTTAGATTTGTGCCGTAGATTTACTTCTGTAACATCCTCGGCATTGGTCTTTGATTTTTTGAAGATCTTTGCCTGAATGTTACTAGATAATTTAGTACCCGTTGAGTCCGCATTGTTTGTTTCTTAGTGTGGAAAATACGGCACAATCTTCAAAGTTCAGAAACCAGACGGAAATCTACAGGTAAAGGGGCAGATTAGTGCCGTGGATATACTGCTGTAACATTGTGAACATTTACTTTCGTTTTGAAAAACGACAATGTGCACTGATTTGTGCCTTTAAACAGAAATGGTGAAAATAGTGCCGTAGAGACTTTTAGAGTAGCTCTCGTGCTGTGTTTGTGTAGAAAGGTGCGACAGACCGCAATACTACACAAACCGGACTCTGAAATGTGTACTCATTTGTGCCGTAAAATGAAAATCGACAGCAAATTAGTGCAAAATTCGTGCCGTGTTAGTGCGTTCTGTTTTTGAAAAATATGGCACATGTCGCTTTGCACAAATAAAAAACACAATTAAACAGAAATGGTAAAATTTGTGGCGTAGAGATTTTTAGAGTAATTCTCGTGCTGTTGTGCCGTAAAATGAAAACCGGCAGATAAAGGTCAGATTTGTGCCGTAGAGGTAGTGCAGTAAGATCGTGGAAATCTTTTTTTGGAAAATTTGGATTTTACGAGCGTTAAAATTAATTTAAATTTGTACTGGTTAGATTTGTGTCGTAGACGTTGTGCCCTTTATACTGAAAATTCGACACACAGGCCGAACAATGGCAAGCTGATTCTGATATGTGCACTGGTTTGTGTCGTTAAACAAAAATCGATCGTCAGATTTGTGCCGTAGCTGTAACATCTTAGGCATCTTTTTATTCATGTAAAAGGTTGACAAGCGTTTAGAGAAAAATTTGTGCCTTTTTAGGTCGAAAGTCCGCGACACTACAGAAACTGGATTCTGAAACGTGCTCTAATTTGTGCCGTTAAATGAAAATGAAAAAAAAATGACTTTTAAAGCGTTTAGTCCAAAATTCGTGCCGTTTTAGTGCGTTTTGTTTGTGTGCAACACTACGACACACAAGCAAATCTACAAATACCAGAATCTGCCCTTAAACAAAAATGGTAAAATTAGTGCCGTAGATATTTTTAGTGCAAAATTAGTGCTCTTTGGGTGAAAATGTTTGAGTGAAAAAATACGGTAGAAATGAAAAACTACAAAACACAGAACCTGCAATGTGTACTGATTTGTGCTCTTAAACAGGAATGGTCAGATTAGTGCCGTAGAGATTTTTAGTGTAACATTCTTGCTTGTTTAGTGTGAATTGTTCGGATGGAAAAATGCGCCTGACATATGCCTATGAGATTTGTGCTGAATTGTGCCGCAAAATGAAAATCGACAGGTAAGGGTTAAATTTGTGCCGTAGAGGTACTGCAGTAACATCGGGGTCCTCTTTTAGTTTGTGTGGGAAAATAAAAAGTGCACTAATTTGTGCCGTTACATGAAAATTCACATGAAATGGTTGGATTTGTGCTGTAGACGTACTGTTGTAACGTGTACATTTTTTTAAATCTTCACAAAGTTGTGCCCTTTTAGATTGAAAGTCAGGCATTGACGAGCATTTAGAGCAAAATTTGTGCCCTCTTAATCCGAAAATCAGGGACACACGCCAAACGACAGAAATGTTCACTAATTTGTGCCGTAGATGTACTGCTATAACATATTGACTTTTCAAGCATTTAGTGCAAAATTCGTGCCGGTTTTTTTTTGTGGGAAAATACGGCACAGTTGGATTTGTGCCTCATGTATACTACTACAAAATAGTTTTCTGTTGGTTTGTCGAGAACCTAGACTTGAATCTTTCAAGGCTTTAGTGTGAAATTCGTGCCTTAAATACGGCACAATCTCAAAAGTTCAGAGACCAGACAGAATACAAGTACCGGTTATATTAGTGCCGTGAATGGACTGCTGTAACATTGTGAACATCTTTATTTTTCGAAAATCTTTGACAGTAAATTTCGTGTCTTTCGTAAATTGTGTGGGAAAATGCGGCACACATAAAAAACTACAAAAACCCTGCAATGTGCACTTAGAAAAATGGTTAAATTTGTGCCGTATAGATATTTATAGTAATTCTCATGCTCTTTTAGTTGGCTTAGTGCGATTTGTGCCGTTAAATGAAAACCGACAAATAATAGTCAGATTTGTGCCGTGGATGTAATGCTTGTAGCATCGTGGGTATTTTCTTCTGATTTTTGGAGAATCTGAACCAGAATTCGAGCGTTTAGTGTAAAATTTGTGCCCTTTTTAGTGCCGTGGGACCGAAATATAAAAGAGGAACCCTGAAATCTGCACGGATTTGTGCCGCAGATGCACTGCTGAAACATAATGGCCATTTTTTCGACAATCTTGACCTGAATTTTTCGAGCGTTCAATAGTATAGTGCCAGTTCGAGTGGGACGACGCAATTTCTATTAAAATTAAATCGCGAGTGGTACCCGGGGGACCTTTCCAAATCGTTAAAAAAAGCGAAAGTCGATAATTACGAATTAAAAATGCAAATCGTCTCGGTTAAAGATGACGCAACCAGTTACCTTGCCACTGAAACCGTCGTTCTGACCTTCCCTGAGCGCCTCCGGTGGTATAAACGCGGGCGTTCCCACGGTCGTCGAAAGGTACGCGTCGGAACCGTCGAACTCGTTACAGACGCCCAGATCGGCGACCTGAACCCTTCCCGAATCGGTCAGTAGGAGATTGGCGGGTTTGATGTCTCGATGAATAATTCTCTGATAGTGTACTGAAAAATCGAGATGCACGCGTGACCGCGAGGGGGCGTCGGGCGGCACTTACAATATTCAATTCCTAGTATCACATCTCGAAAATAATGCCACGTATTATTTTCCGATAGAGGTTCGTCTGTTGGTACATTTAAAATGGGTTTTTCTAACAATTCGAAAACTAAATACAATTGGTCCTCTTCGGGGTCGTCAAGCACCTCGACTAATTTCACTACGTTCGGATGATCTAATTTCTTAAGTACGGCGATTTCCCTATACACCCTCTGGAGAGGTGTCAGCATTTCGGAATCGCACGATTTCGCAATCCATCTGGGAGGCAGCCTACCGAACATTCCTGCTTTCTTCACCAGCTTCTTCTTCGATAGTATCTTCATCGCCTGAAACATAGCCGTTAGTCTACTTAAGTTTTCTGAAAGTTGAAACCTTTAGTTCGAATTGGGAGCTTAAATTTCAAATTTAAGTTCTAAATTGCAACCTGAAATTAATTTTAGGTCAATTATGGGACCACCTTCAAACGGATTAGATTTCAGTTTGAATTGAACCGCAAACAACCTTTATTTTACATTAAATAATTGAAAGTTGAAACGTCTAGTTCGAATTGGGAGGTTAAATTTAAGTTCTAAATTGCAAACTGATATTAAATTTAGATCAAGTTATGAGACTACCTTCAAACGGATTACCTTTCAGTTCGAAATGAGTCGCAAACATCCTTTATTTTACATTAAATAATTGAAAGTTGAAACGTTTAGTTCGAATTGGGAGGTTAAATTTCAAATTTAAGTTCTAAATTGCAACTTGAAAGTAATTTTAGATCAATTATGAGACCACCTTCAAACTGAGTACCTTTCAGTTCGAATTGAGACGCAAAAATCCTTTATTAAATAATTGAAAGCTGAAGCGTTTAGTTCGAATTGGGAGGTTAAATTTCAAACTCAAGTTCTAAATTGCAACTTGTAATTAATTTTAGATCAAATTATGAGACCACCTTCAAACGGATTACATTTCAGTTCGAATTGAGTCGCAACAATCCTTTATTTTACATTAAATAATTGAAATTTGAAGCGTTTAGTTCGAATTGGGAAGTTAAATTTCAAATTTGAGTTCTACATTGCAACTTGAAATTAATTTTAGATCAAATATGAGACCACCTTCAAACGGATTACATTTCAGTTCGAATTGAGTCGCAAAAATCCTGTATTTAAATTAAACAATTGAAAGTTGAAGTGTTTAGTTCGAATTGGGAGGTTAAATTTCAAATTTAAGTTCTACATTGCAACTTGAAATTCATTTTAGATCAAATTATGATGCCACCTTCAAACGGATTACCTTTCAGTTCGAATTGAGTGGCAATAATCCTTTATTTTACATTAAATAATTGAAAGTTGAAGCGATTAGTTCGAATTGGGAGGTTAAATTTCAAACTCAAGTTTTAAATTGCAACCTTAAATTAATTTTGGATCAAATTATGAGACCAACTTCAAACGGATTACCTTTCAGTTCGGATTGAGTGGCAAAAATCCTTTATTTTACATTAAATAATTGAAAGTTGAAGCGTTTAGTTCGAATTGAGAGGTTAAATTTCAAACTCAAGTTCTAAATTGCAACCTTAAATTAATTTTAGATCAAATTATGAGGCCACCTTCAAACGGGTTACCTTACAGTTCGAATCTAGTCGCAAAAATCCTTTATTTTACATTAAATCATTGAAAGATGAAGCGTTTAGTTCCAATTGGGAGGTTAAATTACAAACTTAAGTTCTACATTGCAACTTGAAATTAATTTTAGGTCAAACTATGAGACCACCATCAAACGGTTCACCTTTCAGTTCGAATTGAGTCGCAAACATCCTTTATTTTACATTAAGCTTGAAATTCTAGCAGAAACCAGTATATGGTTTTAGATCTAATTAATTTATTTTTGAAATTAAAATTGAAGCATTTTATACGTGTCGGGTGCTCAAACATCGAACACAAACGCAAAATTCCATTGTTTACTCAATTTTTGATGAATTATTGAGATTCGGTTGACGGTACGAGCTTGAAATTCTAACAGAAACGTGTATTTGGTTTTATATCTAATTAATTTAACTTTGAAATTAAAATTGAAGCATTTTATACGAGTTGGGTGCTTAAACATCGAACACAAACGCAAAATTCCATTGAGTACTCAATTTTTGATCTAATTATTGAGATTCGAGTGAAGGTATGAGCTTGAAATTCTAACAGAAACGTGTATTTGGTTTTAGATCTAATTAATTTAACTTTGAAATTAAAATTGACGCATTTTATACGAGTTGGGTGCTTAAACATCGAACACAAACGAAAAATTCCCTTGTTTACTCAATTTTTGATCTAATTATTGAGATTCGGTTGAAGGTATGAGCTTGAAATTCTAGTAGCAACCAGTATTTGGTTTTAGACCTAATTAATTAACTTTGAAATTAAAATTGAAGCATTTTATTCGAGTTGGGTGCTTAAACTTCGAACACAAACTCAAAATTTGATTGTTTGCACAATTGTATTGAGATTCAGTTGAAATTGAGGAATTAGGCGCATGAATTTTGAACAAAAATCAAAATTTTAACTTGTATTTGAATATAGGTCTAATTTAAGTGAAAGAGGAACTTTGTTCGAAATGAGTGCGTAAACTTCGAATCCAAACGCAAAATTTCGACGTTTTTTTTTCATTTTAAGATCTAATTACTGAGCTTCAAATAAAAACAAGGAGTTTAGTTCAAATTGATTTTAGATCTAAATGCTGAGACATTGAGTGAAAAGACACCTTGTTTGAGTAGACGCTTAAAATTCGAACCTAAGCCCAAAATTTTAACGTTTATTTCATTTTAGATCTAATGAAATTCCAAGGCGTATTTTATATTAGATCTAATTTAAGTAAAAATTGAGGCATTCTCTTCGCTCAATTCGAACCCAAACGGAAAATTCCAATCTTAGATACAATTTGAGTAATAATCGAGGCACTTAGTTCGAATTGAGCGTTTAAATAACAAATTCAACAACGTTTATTTCATTTTACATCTAATTATTGAGCTTCAAATGAAAGAAAGGGAATCGAGTTCTAATTCAGTGCTTGATATTTGCAACGAAACACATACCTATTTTATTTTAGATCTTTTTACAGAGGCGTTAAGTGAAAAGGGAGACACTTTGTTAGAATTAAGCGCCCATAATTCGAACCCAAAGTCAAATTTTATTTTAGATCTAATTACTGACACTGAATAAGAAGCTAAAATTCGAACTACGTTTATTTGATTTTAGATCTAATTACTGAGAGGGAGTGAAAATGGTCCATCTTGCACGCGCTTAAAATTAGAACCAAAACGCAAAATTTCAACCTTTAGTTAATTTAAGATCTAATCATTGAGTTCTCAATTCCAACTCAAGGTCCCAACTTTTTGGTCTAAAATTCGCATTTGACCTTGGCTCAAAGGTTCAAGCGCTCAATTAGAACTTCATAGTTCTTTGACATTGAGTTAAATTGTACTCTAAAACGAGGCGCACTCTTTCTGTTTGGGTAAGAATCCGCGGAAGCACAAATTGAACTATAGTCAACCTTCAATTCTCACTAAAAAATTTGATCTAAAATAAAGTTCTAATGGAAGTGCGTGGTTCATTCCCCGTACTAAAGATCTTAACCATGGTTTTGAGTACAATTTTTTGATCTAAAATAAAGTCCTCATAGTAATTCTGCCTTTCGGGTCTCAATTTT